AGCTTGGGGAGATAGCATCTTCGCCTTTTGGCACACTTTGCAGAATGGGTTCTTAGGACGATGGCAGAATTGATGATGGATGCTTTCGGCCTCGGCGCGAAGCCGGGCTTCTTGCGAAATTTCCCTTCCCTCATCTTCTTCCTTGTCACTATCGGGCTCGATTAAGGGGTCGTCTTCGGGTCTTTTGAAAGCAGTAATCGACAGAATTGGCGATCCATCAATCTTTTGATTTTTAACCCTTAGACTTCTGATGTCAACAGAATCCTCAATCTTGCTCCAAGCAGAGTCCTTGTAGATCCAAGTGGTCCTTAGCACGAACCTTGGATGACGAGGTGCAGGTACTCGCAAAGCCTTTGGCCGATGACCAATAATGATCTTTGATGCGGCAATTTCACTGCTAGTGATCCAACCTGGCTTGGCTAAATCTTTAGGCTTGATTGCAATTGGTGGTGCGGCATTGATTGCTTCTTCTATCTCGGAGTCGCTATGAACGACTCTTTCATCCCCGGCCGGTCCTCTCGGACGGCTTTCTACTGGAAACCCGAAGACTCGTCCTCCGCAGGTGCCGCCAGTTCAACCTTGACTGTACCGGCGTTAAACACCTGAGTTCCAGCAGATTTCTGGGAATCATCAGCACTTGCTGGGCTCGCTACCGAGTCATCATTCGAGATCACTGGGACTCTACCCTTCATCTTACACTTGATGACTTTACCATCGGGAGCTATGAAGTATGGAACCTTGCCCGCAGGCCAATGGAAATCATATCCATCGTCCATGCATCTTCTCCCAACAGAACAAACCGGTGGCGTGCTTTCCAGTAGATAGCACTCAATGTTTTGCTTCAGTTCAGGCATCGGGATGTTGGTTGACTTGATTCCCTGAACTGGACCATTAGCTGTAATCAAGTTGACCGGCCTACTAGCGTTTTCGATGGGAGCCTCTGGATAGTAGATAGAGTGATCGTGCCTACTGATCAGATCTTCTTCACTGCCAGTATCGGCGAGGAATTCTAATCCCGCATTAAAGCTAGAGCATGCTGTTCTTTCAACGCTAGAACACAGCTCGCACTTCAACACTGCAACTGGGATCTCACCCTCTTCGCAGTCATCTGTGCACTCGTACTCACAGTGGCTTTCAATCCCATTGAGCATACAGGACATGATCCTGGCAAGCTCGTTCGCTGTTCTTATGGCCGTGCTTAGGTCCTGAACTGGAGGCTTTGGGCAACTTTCAGCATCCAAGTAACAAACTTCGAAAGTTCGCGGTTTGGTCCTATGCTTCTTACCCTTACCATCCAATGGAATCTCCCGAATGCTTGGCTTCTCCTTGAACCTTAGTTTCTTGAACGTTCCTGAAGCATCACCCTTAACGCCTTGCCCATTGGGCACAGCTGCCAGCGCATACGAAATGCAACAAGCTGCCGTGCGTCCGCCAGACTTTTCCTTGCTCTTGGACCTGCCCCTGTGTTTCTTTTCCTTCTTTGCTTTAGGATCCGGGGTCGGGCTCCTAGGCTTTTCATCGTTCTTCGCAGGGGCGGCCTGCTCGGTAGGAGCGGCGTCAGTTGGATTGGGCTTATCTTGATGCAGGAACCTACAGTCTTTGCCTTTGTTGCACTTACCTTTCTTCCAAAAGGTGCAAATCGCGTTGATCTTCTTCTGAGGCGTTCGATGAGGACTTGGGGATCTTGACTTTGGTTTGTGGAGAAACTTACACTTGTCGCCTCTTGTGCATTTCCCTTTCTGGAAGTCGTAACAAACCTGTTGTGTTTTGGGACTCTGAGATCTAGGCGGTGTTCGTTGGCTCGATCCTTTGCTGCTTGTTCTGGATTTTGAGCTACTTCGGGACATGCTTCTTCCACGGCCTCCTCGCGAAGAGGGGCGACGTTCAGATCCGTACGCTGGGGCCCCGTATCTATCGCCATGCGACTTAGCGATGCGATCACGATTCTTGCGCATACGCTCTCTAGTCAGATGCTCCCTAATGGCATTGACGAGGAATTCATACGTGTGTACGGGGTTTCCTTCTTTTGCCCTGTCGTACAGCTGAAGATCGTACTTGATGTGGTGGGATTTCCGAATTTCCCTCAGCAAAATGTCCCTCAAAGTAACCTCATCCGGAACATGACTCATTCCAGCAATCACCGACTCGAAGTTGTAAAGGAAGGTAGCCAAGTCGTCCCCAACCAACTTCACCTTTAAAAGGTCTTCTACGCTATAGAGGCTTCCGACTTCTTCATTAGTCTTAAAGTGTTGATGAAACATCCACAATACTTGTCTTCCCCTGACGGCACGTCCTCCTGTGGCCTCTGTTTCCTTGAAGTTTAGGACTTGCCTTGAAATCTCTCCTCTAGCGACTCTGGTAAGTGCAGCCAACAACTTCGTGTCCAATGTTAAGAATTTCCCAGTGTCATGTAAGGACTTGAGGGTAGCCTCTTTATCATATACTTCCTGCACCCAGCGAAATGCCTCATCCGGGCGATCGCTCGCAGCCCGCACAATCTCGCGGACCGAGATCCGCCACGATCGGTAGGTCTCTGGATTAGGGTAATCGGGAAGCTTGATGCTTTCGGCTTCTTTCACCTTTGGTTTGCCCTCTTCATCCTCGGTCTTAGGGGTAAGCAAGCGTGCTGCCCTAATCAATGCCTCAGCTCCGAAATCAACATGTGGAACCCCGTCTGGATCAACAGTCGCCGGCTTACCCGTTTGGGCAGCTTTAGGAGACTTTTCCTTTTGTGGCTCTCTGTTCTCAAACCCAGGTGGTACAGAAGTTCCTTGCGGAGGTTCCTGAGCTTGCGGCGTTCTTCCGAAGATGTCCTTCATGTTCTCGGGAATCTCAAATGGATTGGAGAACGGGATAGTAGGATTAGGTCCTGGCTTCGGCGTGGCATATTGTTTGCCCGCTTCGTCCGCATTGGCTTCCATTCTTAAGGCTCGTTCTGCGGCAGCCAGTTCATCCTGCAGTCTGTCGTTTTGTGCACTCATTTCGGCGATTTCAGTAATGAAGCGCCGTTCCATACTCGCTTCGGTTTCTTCAAGGACTTGTTTGAATCGGATTCCAAGAAAGTCAAGATGTTGTGCTTTGTTGCGTTCGCTCTCAGCAATCAGAGTGGTTCTGAGCTTAGCGATTTCCGACTGATGTCGTTGTTGGAAAATTGATTCCAGAATGTTCATTTCATTCCTGCATGTTGCAACTTCGTTCAACAAAAACTTTTCCCTTTGGGATGCGTTGAACTCAAATTCCGCAAACTGTGCTTCGCATTCTGCCATCTTCACCTCATGAAGGCGCTCGGCCTGTTCAGCCATGCCAGCCATTCTCACAAGATTATCATGCGATTGTTGGTTCAGAATGCTTGCGTGTCTTCTTTCAGCATCTGCCTCCGTTCGCTCTATTGCCATTCTTTGTTGTTCGGCTGTTTCACCCTGGTTCACAACATTGTACAAGGTATACTGCACGTTTGAGATGTCGACCGTTGGATTTGAGACAAATGGAGATAGGGTAGGACCCACTGGACCGAAGATCCTATCAAGTGCTTGGGATCCTGAGCTCGATGCCATAGGGCCCGCGCCAGCTGCTGTGAGTTGTTCATCAAGCAGTCGATCTCTTGTTTCGTCGTCCATCTCGTCCGATGATACTTCAGTTGTTTCTCCCTTCTCAGTAGTGAGCAGAGAGGGCGAAGTACTCATGTACCAGTGTGAATACCAGTGTAAGAATACCACGGAGACAAAGTCAGCGAATACGGCTGATAACCTATAGAATACACCAAAACCGTTAAGCCATGAGCGGTCGCGCTAACCTTTTACTCAGAGGGCTTGGGCACAATAGTCAGCGGTATATAGTACACAACATGATGACTGTACACGACCATACAAACTCCTACGCAAGCTGCGATGCAAAACTACAAACCCTAAACCCCAAACCTCGCCCGGGCGCCGGCTCCTCTTCTTGCGCATCTCCGCCGTTTAGCCAAGCCAAGGCTGTGGACATCTTTCCTCTTGGGAACTCAGAGACTCTAATATCCCTAACTAAGGAACATACCTTGAATCATATTAAGAATCCTACTATAGTTCCTTAAATAAGGGATTTTGGAGTCTCTGGGAAGGTTGGGGGTTTAGGGGCTTCAGGGTTCCTTTACAGGAATACTGTAAAGGGCTAGGGTTCAGGGGTTTCGGGGTTCAGGGGTTCAGGGGTTCAGGAGGCTTTGGGTTATTACTTGGGGTCTGGGGCTTGCGTCGTTTGAGGCTTACTGTTTACAGGGTTAGGATATACCCTGACGCCTTAATCATCGCCCGGAACTCTGTACAATCCAGGATTTCAGGGCCCACGGTTCCTCGTATGAGGGTTTAGGGTTTAGGTCCAAAGGCATCGTAAGTCCCCAGGGTTTCGAGCTTTGGGTTTTGGGTTTACGCCTTTGGGGGTTTGGACGCTCGTCGGGGCCCGCTGAGGTTCGGGGCTTGAGGCGCCAGCTCAGTCGTCACAGCATGATGGTCCACAGCTACGTACACCGCGCTGCCCGAAACCCTAAACCGTAAGCCCTAAATCCTAAACCCTAAACCCTAAACCCTAAACCCTTACCCTAAATCCTAGACCCTAAGCCCTAAACCCTAAACTGATTATACTCGCAGAAACTCTAAGCCGATGCCAGCATGGTGGGGTCTGAGGGTTTAGGGTTTCGGGTTGAGGGTTGGGGGTTTAGGGTTTCGGGTTTAGGATTTAAGGCTTAGGGTTTAGGGTTTAAGGTCTAGGGTTGAGGGCCTAGGGTTGAGGCTTAGGGTTGAGGTCATGGGCCCTCACCTCTTACAGTCATCCAGGCATAACGTGTCGTCTCATGCCTCCTGACGGCAACCAATGCAAGGCCACCATCAAAACCCTAAACCCTAAACCCTAAAAGGGCACAGCAACCCTAACCTCCCTAAACCTAAAGCCTCAACTCTCGAGCCCTCAACCCCTCAAACATCAAATAAGCCCCTAAACCCCAAAAAACACCCTCTCAACCGTAAACCCTATGTAAACCCTTGCAAGCCCACGTGCAAGTGATAGCGAACCGCTCCTGCGGCCGGCTCCTTGGCGGATTGCTCTTGCTCGGTCTTCTGGTCCTGCAGGGTGTGTAGGGCTTGCGGCTTTGGGTTTAGGGTTTAGTGGTTTAGGGAGTTAGGCGTGTAGGGGTCTAGGGTGTCAGGTTTATGTCGTGTTCCGGGTTTTAAGGCTTAGGGTCTTGTGACTTAGGTTTCAAGGTTTGGGGTTTTGGGGCGTTTGGATTTGGGGTTTCGGGCTTTGTGGTTAACAGCTCAGGTTCAAGACCTAGTGTATGTCCTGAAATGCTCTGATATTGTTGCCATTGGTCGGCAGCACCTTTGCCTCCTCAATGGCTTTGATTCCGGGCGTTGCAGTTTTGCTTGCAGAATCGTCGGTGACAGTGATCCTGGGCTCCGTCACAGCTCTGATCTTGGAATCCTCGATCGCATTGGCTCTGGACTCCTAGTCATGGGATGGAACGAGGACATCACATGGAGGTTAACCCATGAAACGGACAAACGCATGTACGTGCATGGACGTACCTACAATAACACCCATAGCAACAAGCTAAGGAGAAGCCTTAAAAGCAGCAGAAAACAACAAATATCAGCGGCAACAGGAACAATAGTGCCGGAAACAACACGAAGAAATACACCTCAAAACAGAAGAAGGTGAATAAAGGAAGCCAAGTGCTGGATGTAGCAGTAAGAAGACAACTGTGCACCAGAAACTGTGGAGTCGACACCACCGTCAGCAACACCACCAACATCAGCCGAAGAGCACGTCGGAACCCTTACGACAACCAACAATACAACAGCACCATTGCCAACTTGAGCATAACGGCCATGTTGAACATCTGAGCGCAAGCGGTGCGCTGATAACTCAGAAATCGGATCTGCAGCAGCAGCAGCAGCAGCAGCAGCAGCAGCAGCAGCAGCAGCAGGCAGTCGCAGTTGCAGTACCAGTAGCAGTGCTGTTGGTTGCATGGCTATTACTGCTTCAAGCACGATAAAGTGAGAAATTACAAGTGGTAACACTACAGCGAGTTGAAATACCAGAAATCATGAATGAAACAATCAGCAGAGCACCACGGAAGAAACAGCAAACGTTGCAAAATCGTGAAGGACACTGCACAGTTGCTTAAGCTCGTGCGGCTGCGGGATGCCGTGCGACGAAGGCTCCACAAAAGCGGAAGTCCCAAAGGTACAGGGTTTAGGGTTTACGGGTTTAGGGTTTAGGGTAATGTAAGAACCTGATTAAGAAGCCTTGGGCCTTTATAAGGGTTCTTTATATGAACCCTACTATTTTGGGGTTATAGGCCCAGGGTGTCTTGATCAGGTTCCAACATGAGACCCCAAACCCTAAACCCCTAAACCCTAAAGCCCTAAACCCTAAACCCTTAACGGGCCCCTGTAGATCCCTTATAGTAGCCCTTATATAGACCCCTTTAAAGGGGCCGCCTAAACCCCAAACCAAGCCCCAGTAGAGTCGGCCTCAAAGCGCATTTCAATTGTCCGACTCGTGGGCTCTGCAGGGGCTTGGAATGGTTTGCTGCGTGCGTTGAGCCGACTCACCTCTCAGAGTTTGGGTTTCTTTAAAGGGATCTATAAGTAAGGGGTCCCTTAAAAGGATCTAAAGGGGTTCCCTCTACAAAGGTGATCTAGGGTTTGGGGGTTTTGGGTTCAGGGTTTAAGATTTATCGAAGCAGCTGGAAAGTTGGAACATGACTATCCTCATGCCCTTAGGGTAAGGTATAAGGGATCCGGGCACTAACCATCCTTAACCCATGTGTAGGGTCACGGGTTTGGGGGTTTGGGGTTCAGGGTTTGGGGTTTGGAGTCTGGGGTCAAACTTGGGGTGTGAGCTTGAGGTTTGGGGATTCAACGTCTGACTTTCGAAACTTCAGGCTCGTGGGGATCTTGGCTTGGGGCTCTGAGGTCTGGGTTTAGTTTGAGGTTTTAGGGTTAAGGGTTTAGGGTTTACGGTTCAGGGTTTAGGGTTTAAGGTTGGTTTTTGCTTCGGCCTTGCGGCATTGGGTTTTGGATGTTAGCAGAAGTGGCCCCGGAACCCTAAACCCCAAACCGTGGGTTGGGTTTTGCTTCTAGTTTTGGGGCTTGGGGTTCGGGGTTTGGAACGACGAGCTAGAACCAAAACTATCGCGATCATGAACATCATTTTTGCAAAGTCCCTAACCCAACCAGAAATTCCGAAAGCCAACTGCCGAAATACCGAGCATTCTGAAGACCAAAACCCTCCACCCCCAGTCCTCGTATCCCCAAAACGCTGAAACCCTGAAACCCTACGAAACTGTAACAAACTCCAGCCATCCGCTTGAAACCAACACCGAGGGCTGAGGCTCTTCAGACACCATCCCATGTCCGCAGGTTCTGTGGCATTCTTTACCACGGTTCTCTAGATGCCACAAGGGATACTACTGTAGTTCTAATTGCTCAGACCACGGCAAGATATTAACCACAACTCCCATAGCTTTCGACTATAAACCGACACCATGAAAAACCCAAGACCAAAATAGCACCGGTATCCGTAAATCCCATAAAGCCTTACTGTAGCCACAATACCCGTAAACCTTAATCCCTAAACCCTTAACCCTATACCGTAAACTCTCTACCCTGAACCCTGTACCCTAAACCCTAAAACCCTATTAATTAGCTGCCTGGGGCCGCACGGCCGGGTACGGCAACATCTGAGCCATCTCCTGGAGCAGCACGAGCTCTTAAGGTTGAGGGTTTAGGAGTGCCCGGCTCCAGGTTTTTTTTTGAACGCCTTTTTCTTTCGCCACCTCAGTCTGTCACAGATGCTCAGGATGATCGCGAACGTTGCAGTTATCCATCCCTTTTGGCGTAGGCCCTCTACTCCACAGAAGTGTGACTCGTAGACCGTATCCAAGCCTTCATGACTGACTCTCGTGCTGTCGTTGAGTCCAGGATCAGGGTGATTTCTACTCGACAGATAGAAAAGAGACGACTCGAAAAACGTTTGAGTAAAGCGATAAACGTCGACCAGTCCACAATGGTTATCCAACCACTCCATGACCCCGTCTGCGTTGCTCGAGTTGAATCTGAGGTTCGATTTGGATAAATCCAGGTTGAACACAACATCAAAGTAAGTGGCCCCAGAGGAAGTCCCGCTAGATTGCTCGGCAGATTCCAGCGACATGAGCCTTCTCGACATTTTTGCTTCCGATGATGTCATTGTCTGAAACTCGAAGCAAGGGAAAAGCTGGCTTGCGACGTTTTTCTCCGTGAGAACGAAGAATGTTCTCACCTCCAGTGTCAACACGCCATAACACCGGGGAGCAATGGCCAACTCCCTTTCTTTAGTCCTGAGACCGACGACAAAGTGATCCTTCGGAACCCTTCCCTCGGAGATCATGGCGAGGATCTCCCTTGTGTTGAGTTTAACCCTAGCAAGATACTCTACCATTGTTGTCTTCGAGGTTGTCTGCTCTGGCGGTGGGTGGCCCAAACACTCCTGTGAGTAGACGCAGTCAAACTCAGACCGCTTCGGGCTGGGTGCCGTGTCTGACAGCAGCAGGGATGCATCCTCGAAGTAGTCGAAGTCCGCCTGCTTTCTGAGAACGATCGTTCCCCAATCATCGAGAGTCGGACCTCGATCCTGTATCAGGTTGAGATTGGTAGTGTTGGGTTCAATCCACCTTTTCAGCACCTCGTTGTCACCTGCGTAGGAGACAGGTGGCCACCGACCATATCTCCTGATGTAGGAGAGGCAGTAGTATTTTGTGAGTGCCGCGGTGCTTCGAGCGGAGACCTTGTTCATTGCGTCTACCTCTTTTTTTGCGTCATCTTCGGCGGAGTGGCGATCTTCCTCACGTTCTTGATGGCAGCGTCCTCGTCGATCGTAGGAAATCCGAAGAGCCGATTCAATCCGAATATGTCGCTGTTACATGCAAGAGTTTCGCAGAGCTGGAGATAGATTCATCTCCGCCCAAACCAGTCGACCACAGGCTGGGGTAGTGCTTTGGTTCGAGCAACACAAGCTTCCTCAGCGTCTTTTTCTCCAGTTTTGTCTTCAGGGCCTCCACTGTTTCGCGCATACCAGCATCAAGTCTGGCCCTATCCCCAACCAGCGCTGCCAACACCTCTCTTGGCACATCGGGTCGTATTGCAGTTTGAAGATGCCGATCCGAGGCCGAGGGCAACGATCCCGACTCATCACCAATGTCGTCCATCAAGATGGAGTATTGATCCCAAAGACGGCACAATGCTACCGGGCTCCAGGTTTAGGGCTGAGGGTTTTTTCAAGGTTTAAGGTTTAGAGTTTGGGCTTCGGGCTTTCGGCTTGGAGTTTAGGATTAAGTTTGCAGGTTTGAGGTGGTATTATAAAGAGTGTTCACAATTACTTGTTTAATGTCTTCAGAGGGAGTCTCTATCAGGACTACAGCAGTTTTAGATCGGGGATCTGTTTAACGTTGAGCTCTAATGGTGTTGTATATGGGCTTTCCAAGGCTTTTTGCAAATAGAGGGCGGTTATAAGGGTTCTTTCAGTGCTGTAGAAGGGTTCATCGAGGGTGGCATAAAGTTAATACACCGGTGAAAGCTTGAAATTTGCATTCAACCTACTGCCAAACCCCAACATCCCAAACCCTAAACCCCCGAACGACAACAAAAAAACCAAAACCCTAAACCAGTGCTGAGGGGGCATATTATGATATACTTATACTATATAGACACGATAAAGAGACAGTCTTGCAAATTAACCCAAAACCCCCAAAACCCTACGGTTTAGGGTTCCCAAAGGCTCTAATACTGCGCCGGGCCGATAGTTCGACCCACTAGCTTCAACATGCTACAACACATGGGCCTCCACCCTCTTCCCCATAGACTCCTAACACAAGTGAGCCTTGGGGCCTCCGCCGGATCTAAAAAGTAGTATATTTTTAAAACGGCGTAGAAATTACTCCGCTGGCCTGCGTAGGGCAAACGACACTTTGAGGTACTCCACTACTCCGCAAGAGCTTGTATGTAAGATGATGCACAAGTGGGTAACTTTCGGCCCGGCGATGTATCCCTTAATTAAGGAATACACCTCAAATCATATTGGGAATCCTACTATAATTTAAGGTGTATTCCTTAATATTCCTTATTAAGGGATATTGGAGTCTCTGGGTTTTGGATTTCGGGCCCGATATTAAAACCTTCCTGCGTCTCGTAGTCGGGCGTTGGAAGCATTTGCTGCTGAATGGGGTTCCGCCACAGCCCGATGGCCCTCTTGGTGTCCTCGCTTGTGGGCTTCGGGCTTAGAGCCTTGGGCTTAAAGTTTAGGGTTTGGGTGAAGGAGCCCTTGTAAATCCTAAAGTTGGGCTGTTGAAATTCGGAGATTATATGCAACCCGGGTACAAGAACAAACTGCGCCGCCTCGTACCGCTAGTGTGGCCTTGCCCCCTGAACCCGTAACCTTCAGCCACAAAACTCTTAGCATCTCTATACAGACGCCCTAAGCAGATGACGGCCGATCTAAGAAACAAAACCCTTTACCAGGAGGCCAAGTTCCACCCGAAACCTCAAACCCTTAAACCCTAAACCCTCTTAATCCCACAAAACTGGCTCTCGAGCTACTCTGCGGCAACATACTCCAACGATGAATGCTTCTGCTAACCATGAAATTTGGAAAGAGGGACAATAAACCCTAAACCCTAAAACCCTAGACCCTAAAACCTTAAGGTGCCTTTATAGAGCAAAACTTGCACCGGTTTTACCCAGGGGCCGGCTGCCGCAGCCACTTCTGTGGATCTGCCTTTCATGTCTGAGGATCTTTTAGGGTTTACTATAAAAGCCTTAATAGTTAGAATAGGGTTTTGGTGCCAGTATACCATAATTGTAATAAGGAAACCCCAAAATAGTATCGGTAATTATTTCGGCCATTTACTATTAAGGTTTAGGCTTTAGGGTTTGGGGGGGATCTTGGCCTGATCTCTTTCGGGGCTTAGGTGCAGGGCCCCAGGGCTTGCGTTTAGGGTTACTCGACATCTCCTTTCCGTTGCTACCCTAAACCCACACCCTACACCTAACCAGTGGTTGTGGGGTTCCCTTGGCTCTTTAGCTCCTTATTTTATAGGGATTATCATCATCCCTGGCCCTCTCCTCCAATATCAATAGTTAAACACCCCTTCTTAAGCAACGGGAAGAAGGCCCCGGCTTAGGATGGGGCTTGAACCTTGTACAGTAGAAACCAAGCTTTAGGGTTTAGGGCGTTTTTTCTTAAAGTGTGTTGGGCCTTTCTCTGCGGGTTTAGGGTTTAGGGAAACCAAAAAAGGTGGAACTTTCATGTAGTGGCCTGAATAATGAGAACAGGGTTTGGGGGTATAGTATACTATAATTACAACAAGGAACCCCCACCACCCTATTCTAATTATCAAGGCCCCAACAACATCCTCCCGCCTTTGAGGTGAATCCGAGCACAATTTATCCCGAATCCGTGCTCCAACCACAACCCTAAATCCTCAACCCTGGGGATTTGAGGTTGGGGCTTCGGAGATAAACTTAGAGATTTAAGGCCGGAGACTTGCACAGCAGCTTAGCTCAGGGCTCGGGGGTGAGGGCAGGCTGTATAACGGGTTCTATCAGTGCTAGGGTTTAGGGTTTCGGGCTAGTCTATGGCGATTCTATGTGGGTTCGAGCCGCTATGCCATACAACGCTTTACTTTTCTCGCTGTCGGACTTTGAACTGGACGGAGGTGCGCAGAAAACAAATGACAAAATTAAAACCTTGTGGCATGCAAACCACAATATGGAACCATAGACCCAGAACTCTAAAACAGCAGATCCTGAACCCCAAATCCTCAGCCCAAACCCCAAACACTAAACCTCGAACCCTAAACTCCCACTCCCCACCCGACCCCCCACCCCAAAAAAAAAGACATTGGACCCTGAGCCATGTGAACCTCTAAAACTCCAACACCCCTGCCTCCAAGAATACCTGCGGCACAGCATTGGAGTTGATGGTGAGGAACGCCTGCTGCATGCAGGTTCTCAAATGCTCCTGCCAGCGGGGTTAGATAAAAACAAAAAATATAGTTGCCTAAATAATCGCCCATATTATTTTTGGGGGTGGTTTCTTGTTGTAATTACAGTATATTGGGAACCCTATTCTATTTATTCAAGCCCCTATATTAACGAGAAACGACCCCAAACCCAACATCCTAACCCTCTCCTGGCGAAACCATCATCACCCGCCCCCAGAAAGCCCTAACCCCTCCCTAAAAAGTGCGATTGGGGTTTAAGGAACCCAACCCCCAACCCCCCCCCCCCTCTGGAAACTCCTCCTTGTCGGTGGAGAGGACACAATTCAGATTCCGAGGCAGGAAGGGGTCTTCCACGTGCAGCCGCTGCGCTTGCCGGCCAGGGAGATTCAGAAAATCGGGGTCCGAACCCAGCTTCCGACGGCCGACTCGAATCGATACCACCTGCATGTACCGGTGTGGGGTTGCTTCTATTTAGAGGGCTGTGTGGCCTTCGGGCTCTTGAGTTCGGATTTGGGGTTCTGGGTAGGGGTTTTAGGGTTTAGGGCTGGAGCTTCTCCGAGCTCACGGCTTAAGCACAGGGATCGAGAGTCCCAGGGTAAAAGGAGGGACCCTTAATAAGGACCCCTAGGTATATACCCTTCATATAGCTATTTTATACCCATTATATAGCCCATTATAGGTGGGGGTCTCTTTGGGAACGCTCAGGCTTGTGCATTCGGCTCAGGGGCTCTTTGGGGGTCTGGGGTTTAGGGTTTAGGGTTTAGGTTTCTGTCTGATCTATACTACTTCTGCCTCCATGTCTACTGTCGGACGAAACTTCCCATTGCACTGCTAACCTCTCAAACCCTCTGCTAACCTCTTACACCCTACTTAACTTCACCCAAAAGCCCTAAAACCCTGAAACCCTCAACCCTGAACCCTGAAAGCATAAACCCTGAACCCCTAAATTGTGAACAACTCTAGCCGTGAGGATCCCTCAACCCTGAACCCCCGGGTTTAGGGTTTGGGTTCTATTGTAGGAACCTCATGAAGAAAACTTGAGCCTTTATTTGGGGTTCCTTTTCTGAATCCTAACTTTTGGGGGGTTATAGGCCCAGGGTTTCTTCATCAGGTTCCTACATGAGGAGTCCTCGGCTTGGGGCTTAGAGTCCACGGGTTGATATAGGGGCCTTAATAATTAGAATAGGGTTTTGGGCCCTATTATACTATACTTATAACAAGGAACGCCCAAAATAATACAGGTAATCATTTCGGCCCCTATAGTAGGGCTGAAAAAACGGCTTAGGGTTGACCCACTTCTCTGAGACGCGCTGCCTCAGCGCCCCATGAGAAGGCTTGCGCGTAGAAGGAGAAGAAGCCTAGGCTTGCCCTTCTCATTTAGGGTTTAAGAGTTTAGGGTGCACTTCAATTCCTCTGCTAGAAGTCGATCTCAACAGTGCCAAGAAACGAGAAAGAGTTATAAACAGCATCCTAAACCCTCGATCCCCAAATCCTAAGCCCATCGTAGACTAGCAGTAGCTTATGTAAAGCTCTAAATCGCGAAATCCCGGTTCAGGGTTCAGAGTCTAGGAGTAATTCCGCTTCTAAGGAGCGGAATAGCAACTCCGAGAGAGAAGTGCGGCAGATCCATTCCTAGGTGCCGATTTCAACAGTCTCCAAAAGCATTTATAAACCCTAAACCCTAATCCCCCGAACTCTATACTCAACATTACAGGAAGCTGCTAGAGTTTATCCCTGAAACCTCTATATGAAATATCAAAAGAACTTTTCTGAATTATCCGTAAAATCGCTTACATTAAACTATACAAAGGAAAAACTTCAGAAAAACAAAAAAAAATATGTCCTCCCAAAAAGTTGATACCCAGAGTCATAGTGGAGAGGTCGCACCGGGCCCCATGGTCCGAAATCCTCCCACGCAACCAACTTTTTGGGGGGCTCGGAAGGCCTTCTTTTTTAAACGGGGTTTGGGGTTTTGGGGCTTTGGGCTTGTTCTTTTTGGGAGTGAGGTTTTCTTTGGGGGGGAGGGAAGGCTTTTGTCGCTTTTGTAAGGCCTTTGTGGGCGTTTGCGATGCTTTTGTAGGGTTTGTGTGGGCTTTTTGGGTGTTATGGCTTTGGGATTGTTGGTGCGTTACGGCTTTCGGGGTTTGGGGTTGAGGGTAGAGGGCTGAAGACCTAGGGCCTAGGGCTCGTTGCGATGGCCTTAATGATTAGAATAGGGTTCCTTTTAAGGGGTCCTTGGGTTCCAATATAGGGGCCTTAATCATTAGAACAGGGTTTCGAGGTATATTGTACTATAATGACAATAAGGAACCCCCAAACAGTATTGGTGTATTGGTAATTGTTTACGCCCCCAAAAAGTGCTCCTCCACCGGCAGGCAGGGCAGTTGCTGATCCACTTGCAGGAAATAGATGACCATCAATGAAAAACTGTAGGACGAGAGGTATCCCTTCGGAGCACCACAGACCTCAGAGCAGAGTGGAGACACGCAGTGTAGTGTTTAGGGGTTTAGGGTATTCGGGCTTTAGGGTTTAGGGTGTAATGTAGCGAATCTGCTCCAGTTCTACCTTCTATGAGTTGACCGTAAGTTGTGCTGTCTTCTCGTTCTGCCACAACTTCTAAACTTTCCCTCAAACCCTAAACCCTAAATCCCCTTCAAATGCTCTGAACCCTGAGCGGTAGACTCCTAAATCCCGCAAAGCTCGACTTCAACGCCAAGCTTCTCCTTGACCCTTCGCCCAGAACTTCACGCAGAGCACCAGCTGTCGGACAAGCGGACTAAGCTCCGCGTAGGCCCGCAGCAGGTGCGTGTTCTGCAGCGCTTGTGGGTTGTGACCTGGGGACCAGTCCTATCATCGGGCTCCGGACGTGTGGGTCTACGGCGGAGGGCTTAAGAGATACTGTTGATGAGATAAATCCTGCACTACCTTAAGGACCCTAAACTATGGGAATTATGGTATATTCCTTATTATGGGTAATGCAGGATTTATATCATCAACCGTAACTAGGGTTTAGGGTGTATCAGTGTAGGGTTCAAGGCCCTGTGGCTTGGACAGAGGCGTAGCATCTTAGGCCCAGGTTTCGAACTGAAGACGTGCGATGAATAAATCTTAACCAGAGATCCCAAAACCCCTTAATTAAGGAATATACCTTAAACCATAATATCAGGGCCTCTATAATTTAAGGTATATTCCTTAGCTAAGGGTTATTGGGATCTCTGGGTAAGCTCAGCCTTTAGGGCTTCCGCCCCTTAGCCCAAAGCAAAAAAAAAAGCGAAGAGAGTCCTTAAACCGTAAACCCTAGATCCTAAACCGTATAGTCTTTGGGTTCTGTTCCGTTACGTAGATTGTAGCACAGCAAATGATATCTTAGATCAGGTCATCTGATGCTATGGTCAAGCTGCGCCCGTCTGACTGCTGATCTGCGCTTCTCGGATCCCTACACAAGGGTACTTAAAGGATCATGGGACTTAGTAACTAGGCTTATAATTAAGGAAACTATACTTATAACTACTTATAACCCCAATTAAGGTACTTATAACCTTACTTACTAAGTCCCATGATCCTCCAAGTAGGCTATAAAAGATTGAGATCAGAATGCAGCTTCTCCTCTGTCAGATTGCACCATCAGAACCAACCTAAACCCCAAAACCAAACCCCTTAAAGGACACCAAAAACAGAAACCTTGAAAAAGGCCATGTCTCTACCGACGGTCTGCTAGGATACCATCTTCGGAGCGTTCTGTTTTTTTCTGCAATTCTTTCAAGGGTTTCGCAAAGGCAGCTATAAACAAACCACAAACCCCCTTAGGCCCTAAACCCTAAACTGTCTAAGCTGAGAGATGTTTCGATGAGTCCAAAGGAGGAATCTGCGAGTAGCCTCACGTCTTTTTGCCCCGTCCCCACACCCGGGTTTTGGAAGCCTTTACAGGGTACCAGACTGTACGAAAAGGGTTGCCGTAAGGCTCGCTCAATAAAAGTTCAGGCATTAGGGTTTTCGGGTTCGGAATTTAAGGATTTGTGCTTTTACGGGCTCCAGGGTTTACTTTCGGTTACACAGCACCTCGTGGCGTGGTTGAAAGACTCAATGCGATTTGCTTTGGTGAACTGCATGGCTTTGCATGCTGCAACCCTCCACAGTTCCAATCATTTGGGCGTCAACCAGAATTCGAAAACTACTGGTTCAGGACGGGTTGGATCCGCGTCAAGCATTAGGACACCAGGTTTCGGGCTCAAGGCTCAAGGGGTCTGAGGATTTTAGTGGTCTAGGAAAGGTGTTTGAGGTTTAGGGTTTCTGGTTTAGGGTGTATATTGTACCCTAGTGGAAAATCGATTTAGAAGCTTGAATTTGGAGAGTCCCTATACTTTACTGTAAAGGTACGAGGATAATGATCTTCTTTAAGGGTTTAGGCTTTAGGGGTTTCGGGTTGGGGTTTAGGGTTTAGGGTTTGGAGCAAGTAAGGCCCAAGCAGGACAAGTCGACGTCGATGATGTTCAGAAATCGCAGACGAATTATCGGCACTCGCGCAGACCAGATTTCCTGAGAGCAGCCCTTGACCCTACGTCGCCGTACACCATGACCCCTGAACCCTAAACCCAAATCTCGCAAACTAAGCTTCCTCTAGTCTACTGCTCACGCTCGCTTTCGAAACAGGGGGCTTCCGGCTCCAAAAACAATCCCGTGTCCGTGTAGTTATCCTTTGTGGAACACTCACAAAACCCTTATTATAGAACCCTTACAACAAGCCTCTGAAGCCCCCCCTTTTTAAAGATCTCCCCGTCCTGGGTGACCTTGAATGACGGCTGCGTCCGCAGCAGTGGTAGGATCCGGTACTTGAGCTCTTGTACGGAAAGCTGGCTGTCCTGGTCCTGCCAAAAGCATCACGGTCGACATCACACACCCCTGCGAAACCCGAAAATTCTACTCCCTTAAACCCCTGAGCCCTCAACCGAAAATCAAAATACTGAACTCTGCACCCCAACAGCCCAAACGACCGTAAACCCTAAAGCCCCCACCCTAAACCCCAAACCCTGCATCCCAACAGCCCAAACCCTGCATCTTGAAATTCGAAGTCATGGGCTTTACCTCGAGTACGGAGCTGGAGAACCCAAAGATGCGGTTTAGAGTTTAGGGTTTTAGGGTGTCACGGTTTAGAGTTTAGGGCTTAGGTTTTAGGGTTTGGGGTTTAGGGTTCTTCCTCTTGCCGACTGTTGCTAGCTCAAGGGGTTTGAAGTTGTCATTTTAAAACAAAGTGTACCCCTGCACCCAGATTTTCAGAATCGGGAGGTCCTTACACACCAAACAAAAGACCCGATGCACGACATGAGAGGCTGTGGCAAATGGTCGCTGGATGTAGGGTGCTCTGCATGCCACGGAACGGAAGCTCTAGCTTGTAGGCACTTGGAATCCTCAACCCAAACCTCAAGCCCCAAACTTCGAAACCGCAAACCCACAACACCACACACTCAACTCTCGATCCTGAACCCTTAACCCTAAACCCTGAAACCCTAAACCAAAGCAACCAAAGGTACATACGCTGTGTCGGGCCACCGTCCCAAGTGCTATTATGGTGACAAACAAGAAGCCCCTGCAATCCATGTTGAGATCTTCTGCTTGGCCTTGCACTTCCCGTGAACCTGGGAAAGAAACGTATTAAGACCTTCATAAACTTGTCTGCAACTCACATTAAACCCCTCTAAGAATCCCTTATTTGGTAAAAAGTCTAGAACCCCACAGAAACCCCCTCAAATCCTATCAAGCATTGTTACAAACCCTTCGGTCCGGGTTGTTTTTCTTGAAGCAGCTGACGTCCAGATCGGCGCCACGAGACAGGAAGCCGTTCATCGCGCTCCCAAAGGCCTCGCCGAGCAGACGCGAGCTTTCAAAGCGCCAAAGAGGGACGAGGGCTTAGGGTTTAGAGTTTAGGGCCAAAGAGGGACGGGGGCCGGGAGTTCCACTGATTTAGAGTTTAGGAGTTTAGGATTGAAGGCACTGAAGACTGTCTGGTTCTTAGTACGGAATGGGGGAATGGGTTATTGGGACTACTATAGGGAACCTTAAGAGACCATCATAGGGGTCCATTCCCCCATTCCCTACTAAGGACCAGACAATAGAGGGACGAGGGCGCGGAGTTGCACTGATTTAGGGTTTAGGAGTTCAGCGGTTTAGGGTTTAGGGATTAGGGTTTAGGGGTTGAGGTTTTTAGAATTTAGGGGTTTGAGGTTTAGGGTAGTTTTTCGGGGGATCTGCGTTGAACACAGATCTACATGGCAAAGCCTCAATGCTTGCGAACACCGCAAGCAGGTATCCTAGCCCCGACATCTTGGCATATACACTTAAAGCCTGAAGCAGTGTGCACCTGGATCTCCCACTCAATGCCGACTTGCTTCACGATTGTCTCGAGCTGCTGTATGCCTCAGACATAGGGTTTCTAAAGTCCAGAGTTTAGGATCGTCTCGGCACAGGGTTTACACTTTGAGCACACAATTAGGAAAGTCCCAAGTCGTGCTTCTGATGGCGTTGAGTCTTTCTGTTCAGGCTGACGTTCAGAGTTTAAAGGGTTGGGGTTCAGCGTTTTAGGGTCTAGGGTTAGGGTTCAGGGTGAAGGGTTTGGGCTTCAGCATTTTGGCACTGCTTTCAGATATATCCTCTTCCCGGATGCTTCTGCGCGTCTTGGCGGCTTTGGTGCTGCGAGTGGTGCAAAACGCGACGGATGCGATTGCAGAATTGGAGTTGGTTTGATCGGTGGCTTGCACTGGTGTCAGTGTGGTGGGATGGCAGGGGCCCAGAAACTCTACCTTCTTAGGCCTTAGTACCTAATGCCTGAGCCGTGAACCCTGAACGAAAAACACATCGCTTCCAGCTACTACGGTTGATGATATCAATCCTGCATTACCCATAATAAGGAATTTACCATAGTTCCCATAGTTTAGGGTCCTTAAGGTAGTGCAGGATTTATATCATCAACAGTAGGGCTTTCACATTGACTTTTAGACTTTCAGACTTCTGGTTTCCAGGATCCTCTGGCAAAAGCCCAGAAGAATCCAGAACTTGTGGATTCTTAGGGCTAAAACTCTGAACCCTAAACCCTTAACCCTGAAAAGTCCTGGGTGGCGGTTTTAGGGCTGAGCGCTCGCAAGCTTTGGGCCTCTTTCTACACCAAACACCGTGCCAACACCAACCGCGAGTCCTGAACGGTTCAGCGTTCAGGCCTCAGTGTTCGGTTTAGGGGTTTAGGGTTTAGGGTTTAGGGCTCAGGGTTTGGGGTTTAGGGTTTAGGATTTAGGGTTTGGGGTAAAACTAAGAACCCCAATTCGAACTGCACAAAACCCAAAACCCAAAGCCGCGCTGCATTTTGCATGTACTTGCCTCTCTTCCGGCAGCGGGTCCAAAAAGTTCACGGTTGCCTCGGAGGTAGAAGACACTCTGTCGAAGGATATCGGAACTTGGACCTCGATGTTCTGCAACAGGTTAGGCTGTGTTTGAAAAGCCATCGGACACGCAGCAATAAATTCTGAAACACGCAGTATCAAGGGCACAACATCCAAACATCTCAGCCTGCTTCACTCCTTCGAAGCATAAAACGACAGGATCAAGCTTATGAATGAAATACAAAGGCTTTGCTTGTCGCGAAAACAATAAGAGTAGCCGCACCAAGAGTTCTTGCAACAATGGAAATGGTAAGAGTACTGGAGCCTTGAGCGCAACAACAAGCATGCGAACAGCAGACCCAAAAACTAAACGAGCTACCCAATCTGCGTCTGCCATTCATAAGCTTGCTGCCGGATCACCTCCAATGCTGTTGCCAAGCTTGGTCCAGAGTTTGACATGCCGGAGTTTGCCATGCCGAAACCGCCGCAGGGGGCTAGTGCGCCTGCGGCACACAAGGGTGAGGGCACAGAGGTCGAGACACTAAACCCTGGACCCCTAAACCCTGAACCCTTAAACCACCAAACCCTAAATCCCTGAACCCTAAAGTCCTACACCCTCAAACCCTCAAACCCTCAAACACTCAACCCTCAACCTCCAACCCTACACAAGAAACTCTTAGACCCTGAATGAGTGAGAGAAACTCGGGAGGCCAGGGCTGGTAGCCTAGGATCGATGAGCTCGCACTCGACAGCAACAGTAGTAATAGGAGTAGTCGTAGTCGTAGTCGAAGTCGTAGTAGTAGTAGTAGTAGTAGTAGTAGTAGTAGTAGTAGTAGTAGTAGTAGTAGCAGGAGTAGTAGTAGTAGTAGTAGTAGTAGGAAGTAGTAGCAGACGGTCATCGTCGTCGTAGCCGTAGTCGTAGCAGCAGCAACAAGCAGCAGCAGTGCAGCAGCAATAGCAGCACCAGCACTAGCACTGGCACTAGTGCTAGTGCTAGTGCTGGCACTAGTGCAAGTGCTCTGGCCAGTGCCAGTGTGGGTGCCAGTGCTAGTGCTAGTGCTGGCACTAGTAACGAGTACCAGCACTACTAGTAGCAGCAGTAGTAGGAGCAGCAGCAGCACGACTGCAACAACAACTACTCCCACTACTAAGTACTACTACTACTACTACTACTACTACTACTACTACTACTACTACTACTACTACTACTACCACTACCACTACCACCACCACCACCACCACCACCCCCACCACCACGACCACCACCACCACCACCACCACCACCACCACCACCACCACCACCGGCACTACCAATCCGCATGGTAACCTGCATCTCGGTGTACACGTATACATCTACATAAACATATACGTATACATAGGTGTATATTTACATACTGTATATTTCTACATATATCGACGATATCGATATTTCCGTGTCTCTCTGTGCTCGTCTGTCCCACTCTCTACCCCTCGTTTCGGGCCTGCTGCCGATCCGTTCAACATGCCGGGGTCCATGTTCCTTTACAGAGCAGAGACTACCCTTCAGATTCAGGTTCAGCGTTCAGGGTTTAGGGTTTAGGGCTTAGGGTTTAGGGTTTAGGGTTCAGCGTTCAGGGTTTAGGGTTTGGGGAGAGGGGTTTACTGAAAACTATAAACCCGAGGACCTAAACCCATCACTGGCCAGATGACAGAACTTGTAGCTTTAGTGAAGGGCGCCGCTTGAAATTTTCTTGTCCGGTTTTGTCCTCCCTGCCTCCCCGACGTTTGAGCTTCAGACATGTGGGTTAAGTATTTTGGATTTTCGGCGTCGGGTCTTGTGCTTGAAGACGTTGCTGAATCATGAATGGAACAAGGTACCGGGTTTCGGGATTATGATGGATTACTCGGGGATGTATGGCAGCCACTGGAGTCGTCCCACTGCAACTGCTACTGCTGCAGATGCTGCTGCTGCTGCTGCTACTACTACTACGACTACTACTACTACTACTACTACTACTACTACTACTACTACTACTACTACTACTACTACTACTACTACTACTACTAGTACTACCTGCTGCTACGGCCACTGCTACTGCTACGGTTACGGCTACTGCTACTGCTTGGTGCTTCTGCTACTGCTGCTGCTACTGGCTGGGCTATTTATATTACATTTTAGATGATAAACTACTACTGCTACTACTACTACTACTACTACTACTACAACTACAACAACAACAACAACAACAACTACTACTACTACTACTACTACTACTACTACTACTACTACTACTACTACTACTACTAGACTCTGACTAGATTGCCGACGAAGCGCGCGACCCAGTCGTTGCCTCAGCTGAGCTGGCTCAACGCTTCAAAGCTCACGGGGTTCAGCGTGGAGTTCTGCATCGCGGGCTTGACATGGTGATTTAGCAAAGTGAAGCAAAAAGGGCTTAGAGGTTAGAGTTTTTGTTCAGGGTTTAGGATTTAGGGTTTGGGGTTTACGGGTATCTTAACAGAGTGAACTGAAACAAGGCTTTGTTTCCACCTGACTTCCGAGCTGCTAGTATAAAGACACCTAAGAAGGGATTCCTCACTTCGGAAACGACATCCGGGATGACCCTTAGGGTATACGCACATCGGCAGAGTTGAAAAAATGGTGCCGGGATTGACAACCCGGGGAGCTTGCTAAACTAGATACAAACCCAGGTCCGCAAAGGGATAAAGGTCCCAAGCCAATTTCAATACATCCTTGGTCCGAAAGCCTAGAACCTTCAAGACGTCACGATGGCGATGAACCCCAGTCACCGTAACTTCGGAACAGGTGAAATCGGTCAGTGCAAGAAGATCAGCAGTGCAAGACGTTGCGAATCGCAGCGCGAACCCTAACCATCACAATGGCTTAGAGTTTAGGATTCAGGGAGAATCTAACCCTGAGAATGAGGTTGCAGCTATACCACGCCCGAGAGGAACACTGCCACTAAAGGACTCCTTCTGCGAGTGCCGTGCTAAGCATCGCCCATGGATGGCGGATTGGCGTCTTCTGTAAATTCCACTGAGCAACCCTTTGCATGGGAAGACGATCCAGAGAAGCGAAAGTTGTGATCGTCAAAGCCTGCCAGGACAAGTACAATCTGCAGTCATGCGTTCGGTTCAGGGTCTGGGGTGAAACGGTTGATGGTATAAATCCTGCATGACCTTAAGGACGGTAAGAGTGTTTTTTTTTTGCTGTCGCTGCTTTTTTGCTGTCGTGGCGGGGCGCGTTTTTTTTATTGCTGTCGTGGCGGGGGCGCGTTTTTTTTTTTGCTGTCGTGGCGGGGGCGCGTTTTTTTTTTTTTGCTGTCGTCCGGCGGGGCGCGTTTTTTTTTTGCTGTCGTCCCTGCGGGGCGCGTTTTTTTTTTGCTGTCGTCCCTGCGGGGCGCGTTTTTTTTTTTGCTGTCGTCCCTGCGGGGCGCGTTTTTTTTTTGCTGTCGTCCCTGCGGGGCGCGTTTTTTTTTTGGCTGTCGTCCCTGCGGGGCGCGTTTTTTTTTGGCTGTCGTGCCTGCGGGGCGCGGTTTTTTTTCGCTGTCGTTGTGCTCCCCGGGCGCTTGTTTATTATCATCATATATATTACTACTTGAGAGGGCGGGGCGTTTATAAACAGATAGAGCAGTTGAAAGGAATATATACTTGGCATAAGTCTGTACTTATAACATGCCTATGTCTAGACATATGGAACATATATTCGTGCTAAACAATTATAGGACTTATTATGTGAGGCTGTTCAAATAGTATTTACATAATAATCGAGCCAAGTACTTGGAACACATAGCCGACTTAACTATATCTAGTTATATCTATGTTACTGGACTTAAGCATCTCAGGCACCGAAGTTATAAGTTCATTTAAGTATATCGAGTAAGTCCTGTATGTTCAACTTAGTGTATGACAGAACTCAGACAACTGTATTTGTTTTGCAAGCTCCATGCATGCATTCTGTGCTTCTGCAGCAGGGATATTTTCGATTGTTGTTGGCGGAAATGGACGGATCTACAGGATTGCTCATGCAATTATTGCTGAATTTGCTGTGGCAAGCAGGCTCGGCGCCATGCAGGGCAGTATTGCTCGCAGGCAGCCGGGCTGCTTGCAGGGGCATGTGTTTTGCAGCGATCATGTTGAGCCGCCAGCATGTGCAGAGCTGTTGGTTCAAGCGGTTTAGCAAGGAATCTACTTTCGCCTGCGATCAGAATCGCTCGCGATGCCTTTGACACCGGAGGCTGTGGCGGAGATCAGTCGCCTGGTGGAGGAGAGCAGTCGGAAGGGGGACTTTCTGGTTCGCAATGTCCAGCAGATCTTTGCCGTGCTCAAACGACACTCCCTGCTTCAGCGGATGCGAATCCCACCCAAGGCTGTGGGAGTGCACCCAGCCAATCGTGATGGGTCATGTCTGGTAGTTCAAGACGTACATGAGTTGTTGGACAATATCTCCGCTGTCGGCTTCGAACCGACTCGGACGAATCCCATTGCCATTGAAGCTTCCAGCGAGGCTGAGCAGGTCTTCAACAAGCAGCTGGTTGAGTCTGCAGGCGGTCAGCTCGGCCGGCTTGAACTTGGAGAGCTGAAAGTGCTCTCCCTCAGCAGTTCACACACGAATTTTGCACTTCGGTTGGTTGCTGATGGAGCACCCCACAAATCGGAGGTAATCTCGGTTCAGGGCAGTCTCTCCCTAGAGCTCGTGCAGAAGCGAGACCCGGTGCTCGCTGAGTATGTACTCCAAGGCCTGGAGTGGACGGTCATCGCAGCTGAAGTGGGCCAGAAGTGGCCAGACTTGTTGCAGCTGGTTCAGTCCTCATGCAATGCAACTTTACAAAAAACGGAATCAGAACTTCAGTTGTTGCGGCGGATTTGTACCATCGTGGGGCGACAGACCGGTGTGCCCGATTATCAGACGGTCAAGAGACAAGCCCTGCACTCGAAGCCTCCGTGTGCAGAGTGCCTCCCAGGGCTGTATCAGTTCGCACTCAGGTTTCTTGCTTGGCACTTTGATTGTAGATCTCTTATTATATCTAGTGTCTGTGTTGAAGAGGTTTTGGAGAGTGCCTGCATGCAAAGTATATAGAGATGCAGGCATTGTGGCGGTGCGGATGCATTCTTTCTCGCCGAGACTGAGATGTTTCTTCGCAGTCACGGCCAGAGCAAGGGCATGGGACCTTCCTTCTGGGAGAATGTGTCGGCGGACTTGAAGAAGGGCGACCAAGTGACCTTCTTCAGGCATGCTTTGGTGAAGCTTGCACTGAGCACCAATCTGGTGACTGCCACATCTGTCAAGAAGGCATTGGCCAAAGATGCCCTTCCCAAGGCCATCAAAGCCGACGAGGCAATGTCCAAGATTCGCAGCATGCTCACCGGAGCCGGTGTGCAGTTGATGAGCGACACTCGGCTAGTGAATCTCTTGGGGGTCACGGATTGCACGATGGCGAAGCTCGTCTTGGGCCTGAGCCCTGAGGACGACAAGAAGTACAAGGCCGTGGAAGCAGTGGCCCATGATTGCATCACGGTGGCGAATGGCCTGCTTGGGACAGCTCTGGTGTCGCCTTGGGCGGGCGATGCGGAAGTGATGGATGCAGGGCTGCAGCAGGAGTCATCGGGGTCCCAGGGGGTCCAGGAAAGACTCCGGGAGCTGAATCCAGACGGCAGCCTCAAGAATCCGATTGAGCTCCTCAGTGCTGAGGGCTTCATCGTTGGTGCCTGCATCAAGAAGAAGGGCGAGAAGTTCGAAGGCCAAATCGGCGCCATGGACGACAGCAATGTCACCGTCAAAGATCTGAAGTCCGGTGGAGTCTTGAAGGTGCCGGCGAGAGATTTGCTGAATTCGGGCTGGATGGTTTTCAAGCCGAAAGCGGAGCCCGAGTCCATTGCTACTTTGCAGTCCATGGGGCCCAAGAAGAACAACGATTTCTTGGCCGGCTTGGTGATCGCTGAGATTCATCAGGCAATGCATGAGTTGGTCAAGACCCACGATTCGCAGAAAATTCTCGAGGGCTTGTCTCTGCAGCTGAAGCCATGCAGAGCTTTGGTGAGCCAGCAGGTCTTCGGGAAAGGCAAGCTCATCTTGGTGCCATACAGCTGGAAGGTTTGCACGAGGAGCCCGAAGCCCGAGCCCATGGCGAATGCGGTCCAGGTGCAAACCAAGTGGAAGCTCGACGATCGTGAGTTTTGGTTGCAGAGCTGCAACTCCTTGCCGAAGGATAGCAATCCAGAAGTCGGCAAACACTTCATCTCGCCGTACTTCTTGGTCGGATCTTGCGAAGACGAAGATTCCGCCAACATGGTTCAGGTCATGTCCGGGACCGTACAATCGTCGGTTCGCATCCCAATGTTGAAGAACAGCAAGGAGATTGGCACGGGGACTGCCCTGCATATCCTGAAGGTGAAGCAGGCTGACGAGGAGGAGCATGCCCCGAAAGCCAAGAAAGCCAAAACCACCAAGAAGTGAGCATTGGCTGTCATGTTCTGAACATGCATCGGGATTGAGTCTTCCTTTCACACGAGCAACATTGGCAGGCAGGGACGGACCGAGGCTTCTTCAAAAGTGTGATTGCATTCTTTTGAGCACCTCCAAAGGCAGGAGTTTAAGTTGTTGCAATTGTGCTGTGCCTCGTGCTTGCTCTTCAGCGCCTGCAGGGCTTCTTTAGCTCGCAGGCAGCTGAGTGCATGTTGTTTCGATTGCAGGATCTTCTGGCTGAGCATTTCTAATATATATAGGAACCAACACATAGCTGGAATCTGCCTGCCATGAACTTGACTGTCGAGCAGAAGATGGTGCTGTATGTGAATGGCAACCATTGCATCCCCGAGCAGAAATCTGTCGACGGTGAGACCTACATGCATCTCAAGAAGTGGGATCGTGCCCTTGTCAAAACACTGACAGGGAAATCCTTAGACTTGCGGCCAGGCAAAGCCAGTGGATCGTTGAACATTGACATCTGGGACGAAATGATCCGTGCGAGGCAGGACAAGGCAAACCAGTTGTTGCAGGAGGCATTGAACACGGAGGAGGATGCTGCGACGGAGAACAAGAAGAAGTCCAAGAAGCCGCAAGTTTTCAAAGCCTCTTCGAAACATGCACTGGTGTTGCCGCTGAAATTCACCATCTCGGTCCAGGGGCACGAGTTCCAGGTGCTGTTCGACGGAATCGGAACAAAATCGGTGTGGATCGAATTCTCCGAAGAGAACCTGAAATGGCTGAAGAATAGTGTCGACAGCAGTGAGCAGAAACCCCGCAAGAAAAGGCGAACCAGTCGCCGATCGGGCAATGATCAGGAGAAGTCGCAGGAGAAGTCGGATGATGACAACGATGAGAAGAACGAGGAAAGCAGCTCCGAGAACTAATGAGATTCGGCCGGGTTTGCTATAGCACATCGTGTTCTCTCGATCAGCCACATGCAGACAGAAGTGAGAAAGTGTCCATTTGTTTGTGGCATGCATGCATTCCCACGATGCAGACAGAAGTGAGAAAGAAAGTGTCCATTTGTTTATCACATGCATGCATTCCCATGATGCAGACAGAAGAGAGAAGGTTGCAATTTGTTTGTCGCATGCAAGCATTCTGGAAGCTGCTCAGCATGGAACATGGCGGAATGCATCATGATTCGAGGCCTTTGGCTGTTGGGGGCGGGGCTTTTAGCTTTGCTTAGTCCGGGGCCATGCCGGGGTTCACGATGATGTGTTCCGGAACCCCTTCCGCCGTGGACCCAGTTTGGTCTCAAAAGTTGTGGTTCTATAGACTCGGGCAAACCTGCAACTTCCCAGGATGCCGAGCAGAGGCTCATGATGGACCTCGTGACGGTGGAAGATGTCTTCTACCCAATGAAAGGCTGGCTGTCTTCAATCCTTACAAGTCTTTCCTTTGTTTTTCGGCAGGACCCAATCGCCGGAAGCACCGCTGGGTCACGGAGTCCGGCACGAAGCTGCGATGGCTGGGAACCGGTATATGGTCAGGTTGGCACATCGACACCCGGGATGGCCAGCAAAGCATTTGGTTCCACGAGAACCACGAGTTGCCGGAGCCGCCGGAGAAGGGCTGGCAGTTCTGGCACAATGGGCGATACCACCAGAGCAAGCTGTGGTTGGTGGATGTCGACAAGGCTTTGCCCAGCATGTTGTGCTTTAAGTGTGTTTCCCTAAACTCATATAATTCCGAAGGACTCTCGGCACGAGCCCCACATGCCGGTGCCAGCTGCAGTGGAGGCAGTGCCTTTTCCGGGTTTGCTGTGGGCATAAAAGACTTTCGTGTGCATGCAGGAAGAAGAAACCCGAGAGCACGACGATCCCGAGGCTTTGGCTTGTTTTCTTGCATTCCGATTTGTTTTGGGCCTGTAAGACTGTCGTGTGCATGCAGGAAGAACAGGGCCCAGAGCATCAGGAGGCATTGGCTTGCTTTGTTCCATTCCGGTGCATGATGGCTTGCCTGCGAGCACATCGGCCCTGCATGCAGCCATCATGCCGAGACCTTTGCAGGATCCCATGATCGTGGAGGAGGCGGCCGAGGAATGCGGCATGGAGGCTGAGCAGGAGCTTCAGCACTTGCAAAGCTGTGGCAATGTTCATGCTGAGATTGCGAATATCTAGCCTCCGTATATATTGGTTCTCATATATACATATATACATATATATATATATATACATGTATAGATATTTCTGTATAAATGCAATTATAAGTAAGTGTATATGTAGATACATATATATATATATATATAGGTATATAGGCAATATAGGTATAGCTTTTTTTCTATCACATCCTTATGTACACATATAGACACCAAGGGTTCTTGTATATTTTAAGCCCAAGGCCTAAAAACCCCAACCATACACCAAACCTTAAAACCCTCAACCCACCTTAACACCCTTCGATCAGGACCTACCGGAGGAGCCCCTCTTCGAAGAGGAGGTTGGGTTCACACGGGTCTTGGGAGCACAGGCGGTTTCGTGCATGTCTTCCTGAGGACGAACAAGAGGAAGTGTGCATCGAGGAGGCCCATGCACCGTCTTGATGGGCTCTGGGTTGGGTTGCTCTGCTCCTTTCGAACTGAGGAGGAACCTGTGCTCCACTGCCCCAAGGCCTGTGGATGCCATTCTTGTGAGACCTGAAAAGAATGGAGCACATGCAGGACTTGGCTGATGATGATGATGATCCCGGCCACGAGGCGATTGGGTGCGGCATGTGTCGGCAGTTTCGTGGATCCTGCCGTGTTCGAACCCAGGGCACACAGCTGGCTGTGGTTAAGCCGAAGCAGAAGGCCAAGGGTTTAGGGTTTCGGGTTTGGGGTTTGGGTTTCGTGTGTTGCAACTCCACATGATGCAAGCCACATGGCGCTTTTGCAGGCCCGACCCGGGAAGAAGCTGGAGCTGGCCAAGCAGGCAAGGACAGTGGGTTGCATCGTCTGTTTTTTTTGTTGTGCTCTTCCGGAAAAGGAGACGGCCCTCGTGAAGGTGCCGACCAAGGCTATATAGGGTTTGATGCCTGTGGCATGGTCGCCTGGCAGGGCCTGTTGGCTCGCCGGCAGCACATGCACAGTGACATCAGTGATGTGTGCTGCAGGGTGGCTTCGTGCATGTGCCCAGCAGCTTCAAAGCACCGTGGGCTTATGGAGGCAGTCGTGTCATCATGCTTGGTTCACACGGCAACACCATGGCAGTCCTGTCAGGTGCTGCGAAGCCTCAGGGGGTGCAGGTGGCCGGCTTCCTCACGGAAGACGGGCAGCTGTTCCCTCCAGGATGCGGTCGCACCCGTGCCCGGACTAGGGGTGGCGGTGCTGCTAGGATCGCTTCGCAAGCCATGGAGACGGCGAACAAGATGGCTGGTGTCATGAGCGACCACATCGCCCTGCAGCGGGACCAGCTGCGAGTTCAGGACAGGCATTGCAAGTGCAGTCGTCCTTTGTTTCAGTTGCCTCTGTGCTCCGACATGCAGGAGCGGATGTGGGCACCCGGCCAGGGCCAGCTGTCTCAGGCCATGCACAGGCAGCCTTGGCACCCTTTCTTTTTGCATTGGGCCCCGACGTGCAGGGCTCGGGCTCCAGCTCTTCCAGGGCACCGCCGGCGGAGGAGGATGTGCCATGGTCATTGTGGTGTTCGGCTTCTGTGTGCCTTTTGCAGGACTCGTGGTGGGACCAGGAATGGACCTACCGCAAGAGGCATCGACGTGGGTGAGCAGGGTCGGCGGCTCGGCGGCCGTCCTTTGCAGCGAACCCTCCATGCCTTTATGCACCCAGGCGGCCCATGCGATGAGCCGATCCTGGTCAAGCAAGGTGGGTGCTGCTTCCAATGGTTGGTATCTAGAA